AGAGACCCCAAGGCACAACTTCGTAGTGCTCACAATTGGCCAGGCAGGCAACAGGCATCTGACAGGAAAGTGGCCTGCCCTGCTCCCAACGATTCTGAAAGAACACCAGAATCTCCGTCTGCCAGGGAAGCAGTGAGCTCCAATTTCACTGATATCCTCAAGACCCGGATCGACCAAGCGTCTCCCAACACAGGGAAGGGATACCTGAAGCGGAAGCCACCGAAGTCCAAAAGCAACGCGTCCGGCACGCCCAAGCGATTCATGAGCAGCGCCGTCACGCTGCCGCACAGGAAAATCTACCACAGGAAGGGGCCTGTGACCTCCCGGAGTCAGGGCAGGCAACTGAATATTCAGTGGAACGAGTCCTCGCCTACGTCGGCAGCCCCAACTGCCGGGAGCTCATACAGCCGGCCTGTCTTTCCAGACATGGTTGAGGAATGCACGACACACGAAGTAGCAAACTCACTACATGTATATGACGGTGCTTCATCCCAGCAAGGCATGAGTAATAACGTGGATCTACAGCCCTCCGAACAGTTCCCCAAAGTGGGTAAGTCAACAGACGGTGCCAACAGCTGTAAACTGTTTCTTGTTCCAGATCAAACTATTCACATTTTTTCGAAATGTTGTTGGTCACATAGTCTGTTGTGCAGACATTAGTGTAAGGCATAGTTTATTCAGCAATTTTCATATACATGTAGTTTCTACACGTGCATGTGTAGCTCCAGTCATGTCTGTCTGCCATGTGTGCAATTTCGACCTGATCCAATAGATTTCAAATTGTATCAAGTGATTCATATTGGGTGATGTTTCAGCCATTTGAATGGAAAATAAGGAGAAAGAAATTTACACGGATGTTTTTTTGTCGTTGCAGAGGATGGCATTGAACCCCCAGGAGTTGATAATTCCAATTCTGCCCTGGTGCAGATCACCCAGCCCCACCCTGTTCCAGCTGAACCCAGTCTTGCTCTGGCGCCGAGCCCCAGGAGAACTACCCTCCGGCCAGCCAGCACGGTCTGGTGCCCACCTCGCTGGCCATGGCCAGCACAGGAGGAGTAGGGGGGAGCGGGGGGATGGACACCTCGCCTTCCCCTCTGCCGGCCGCGGGCACCAGCCAGGCCTCCAACATGAGCAGTGTCTACTGGAGCTGCCTGTCAGACGAGCCCTCTGAGATGGTGCCGACGGAGCCTGGAGGCTTTGCTGTGAATGCTGGCGGTGCCATCCCTGTAGCATCCGATATGGACTTCCTGACAGCGGAAGATATGACCCGTAATGGTGTCAATGTAAGTATTGCTTACCACTTCAAGATGCATCAGAAGTGAAGAATTTGGATCTATGTTTATAGATTTAGAAGCTGATCGTGGTTTGAATGAATTTGAATAATTGTGACCTGCCATGGCAGAATAAGGAAAGAACCCCATTTATGATTTTTTGAGATATACATGCAAGAATAAAGAGAAATGAATGGGCTTTCCAGTGATACCACATTTACACTCGTATACAACTCCGCTCCGAAAATACGACGCGAAAAAGATGACGGGAAACATCGCTGTGGTCAAAACTACTTTTTGAAAAAAAACGCTTTAAAAGAAGAGCACGCGACAGTGCTGTAAACGTTAGCCACGAGCATGTTGTGTGAGTTCCATAACCGTTCTCAATCTAATGACCATAGCAACATTATATTTACGGGCAACTGTTGCCATGAAAGAACAGAGTAAATTTAAAGAATATCTTCAAAAATTGTTTTCCTGGAAGTTATATTGTTATATTTTTTGGAAAAGGAATCCATAGTAGTGCAGTTTCGTGATCATGGATTTCTATTGGCATCAGACGGGCCAATGTTGACACTGCCTCCCGACTTACGGTTTCTAGATTTTGAAGCATTCTTTTTGATATTAAAATTCGCAGTACCTGTCAAGATAAGTTAATATAAGCTTATTTCAGTCAAAAATCAGTCTTTCGAAATTGACAAGTAAGACTCGTATTCTTTGCCAACCGAAAATTCTGGCTCTTCAGAAAGCTGTCGTCCAGCCGACAGTATCGGATCTTGCCTTCAATACTTTCAAAGTTTCCATGTACATGCATGTGCTGGTGTCTCACGAGCCGACAAGCAGTGTCTTGAGCAGATAACAAGGGTGCAATACAGTGATGAGATACATACTACTCCAGCTGAATTTGGCATAAAGGTCAGGCAGTGTTATCCCTTTCGGCTGGTCAAAAATTGCAAGTATTCAGCTTACTGATCGTAACAGTATTCAGTGTACATGTACATGCCATGTTGAAATTGACTCGTACATGCTTGCACTGTATACATGTACATGTACATGCACACAGCATTGTTGTTTTCACGTACGTGTTCAGGCTAGAGTAAAAGTATCTTTTTTGCACGCCTGTAATGCATGCTGATTGGACGAAAGAGCTTGACATATATCCAAGTAAAAGTGCTGACCGCGCGGAACATTTGAATAACAGGAGACCAATCAAACTGCTTGATTTTGCCTATGCAGTTTTCATCGTGTATCAAAGTAACTGTAGTTGTATGGGGTTCCAATCATGTACATGTACATGTAGCTTCCCTTTGCCTACGTAGGCATACATGTAGCTTGTGAACGAGACACAGCTTCTCAATGTATTAGATTTGTTTATTTTCTTTGGAAGCCTGGAACAGGCTAGAGGTCATCCAGTCGATGATATCACTGCTATAAATAGACTCTAAGGAAAGCCCTTTCCAACAGTACCAAATTTTATGCAAAGGCAACAGTCAAACTGCCCGAAAACGTGCTCGGAATATGGACAAAATTTTGTCCTGTAAAAGGTAAACGCTACAAATTTAAGAAAAGATTGAAATAAAGTCACTCCAGAAATCCTCCATTTTATCACTTTTGCCTGATTTTGGCATACCTAGAGGAAATCTTTGACACCTAACCTACCTAAAATCTAAAAAACAGAAAAATCAATTTTGGCATGATTTCTTACGCATGTCCAGCTTCAACAGCCGATTACTCAAAATAAGGTTTTTGGGGATCATTCCTCATTTAGCCCAAGGAGGTCACATTTATTTTGCCAATGAAACTTGTCTGAACCAGTATACACTGTATTTACAAATGTACATGTAGATAGAAAGGTTCACAGATGGTCCTTTTCCCAGAATTCTTGCTGTTTTTTAATCACATGAAGCATGACATTATTAAACTGTAACTGCCAAGATGTTTTAGCCAGAAAGTGTCCGGAATCCGCCATGAAGCTCCACCACTGTGGAGAAACAATGACTCATACCTTGTCACAAGGTGTATCAACCCATGTCGCACAGTACATGTAGTTAGGCTGTCGCCTCCATCAATCCCACAAAATCCTACCATAAATGATAGATGTCAGAAGAACTCAGAGGATTAGTGCTACATGTAATACCCTTTTTGGCAATCAGGCTCTGCTCTGACCTATTTTTCTATGTACGAAGATCCACCACGATCCATAAATTTAAGCATAGTGATCAGGCTGTCGGTGTTGTATTCAAGACCTTTCACCATGTTCACAAGGCCAGACACAAGACCAGTCACAAGTTACAGGGTGAACAATGACAAAGGAATGCTTTTGTTGGAGTTCATTTGAATAGCTAGTGACATAAATTCAGGCTTTGGATCTTTTGTTGGTATTGTAATGGTTTTGTGGAGTCTCGTGATGGTCTTGTAAGGGTTTTGTGAGGTCTTGTGATGGTCTTGTAATGGTTTTGTGGGGTCTTGTTTTGGTCTTGTAATAGTTTTGTGGGGTCTTGTGATAGTCCTCTAATGGTTTTTTGGGGTCTTGTGGTTGGTCTTGTCATGATTTTGTGGGGTTTTGTGATGATCTTGTAATGGTTTTTGTGGGGTCTTGTGATGGTCTTGACTAGGACACTGTAGGCTGTTGCCTTCCTCGATGCTGTGGAATACTCCAGTACTCATACCTTGTGGATTTTAGAGGAACTTGAATGATTGTAGCTAATACCCCTGTTTTGCAATGCATGTTTTCCTGCAGATCGGGAGCCAAAAACTTCGCCTGGCCCATGGCTATGACGTCTTCATCAGCCGGCTGGACCTGTGGGAGGCAGAGAAGGCCTCCAAGAAAGGCTGGACAATCCTCATCAGGCGCCTGTTGGACATCTACTTTGATCGGATGACGCTGGCCATGGGCAAGCCGACACACCATGGCAACAGCATGGAGTACCAGCCCCTGGACCAGAATATCATTGGGGCGATAAGTGGTGAGAGATTGACCAAGCGATTGAACATGAATCTCCCTTGACCAAGAGTAGTAGAAAAACAACTATTTTTGGCCCTGCCCGTCGTGTAATTTAACACTGTATGCTCAGTGTATGCCCCCGAAGGCTTGTGAAAATACCACAAGTGTACTCGGGTGGGAATCGAACCCACAACTTCCTGCTTAATAATGTAGACGTCTTAACCACTCGACCACCGAGCTTGCCAGTGTCGGCTGGCTGGTTTGAATCAGATGTAGCAGTGGGTACCGTGAACAACTACTTCAAAGGTTAAGACATCTGCACTAGTAAGCAGGTCGTGGGTTCCAGAAAAGCGGTTTGAATGGGAGCGATCTAAAACTTTGCAGGCTATATTTTAAATACAAGCGAACAAAAGAAGTGCCCCACAAGGATAGATATTTGTGTGTACGTTCACGTAGAAACTACAGATGGGTTGCAATTGGGCTTCATTGTGAATTCTTATTTGTTGTCATTTTATCCCTGTGATCATATTTTCTGTCCGAAAAGCTCATACAATTTTATGAAGTACTGTGTTTTTAAACCTTATATCGTTTGCTTTGACCAATGAATAATGATTGGTTTCCTGTTTTCCGTCTCTCTCCAGCCTTCATCAAAGCCCGCTACAACATTGAGAAGCGCAAACTCATTCAAGCCATCAGCATTTACTGTAGTGATTGTCGGAAGTCTGGCATTCCAGGCAGCATGATCGAAAACCCTAAAGCCATGTATTTCCCAGACATGCAGTAGCCTTCTTAAAAGTAACCAACTGACCCCGCCACACTTTCTCAGGGGAAGGAGTAAAAAAAAGTTTGGGATAATGGATGAGCATCACTCATGGAACTGTCGGTGTTTGCAGCAGTGAGCATTTCTCAGAGTTTTGCCTCGTCTCTGACTTGAGCTCTGCCTCTCGCCCCAAAAGCAGTTTTTTGTCATCAACTGTAACGTTCCTCAATCCTTTAAGATCCCTTAGGTGATTTTGGAGGATTTTGGGGGACTGAGACTGAATTGCAAAAAAGTGTGGCACGTTGTGGAGGAAGTATTTTGTCAAGGTCTTGGGTTAGACCTTGGCTTGTTTGTGCTTTGCGGGGCATAAATTCAGGCCTGGGTTATACATGTATGTGAAATCATTCACACTGCTCCAGGATACCATTCACACTACCTGAACATCATGACAGGAATTGCTGGAGGAATTTTGCAGGATTGGCAGGGGTCAGCCCTGGAAGGAACATACTCGGGAAATAATGGAGGATTTTAGGGGGTTGATGCTGTGTGCCGTTTTCCCATAGAAGGCAGTTGGAGAGTTCTTAAAGACTGAGGATGCAACCAAGCCAAAAGGGCCCAGGGGATTAGGGTTAATGTCTTAACCAGTCGGCAAAACTCCCCCTTCAAATCATCAAGTTGGATGCTGCCGGAGGAAAACATCAACACTTCAGGATCAGGAAATGCCGCAAAATCAGGGAGATATATATAGATCCCTAGGCCAAGCCAAACTCTACAAAGTGGCCGTAATTGGTTTACACCAAGAGAACTTGTAGCACTGCTTCTGTCACTCACTGACACACAGTGGATGTCGTTAGTTTACATTATTGCATGCAAATATACATGTAAACTCAGACTTTGAAGTATTATGCATCAGCTGCTAATGTACCACAGCAAGAAAGAAATGACTTTATCAATTCACAAATATATATACATGTATATGTATATATATTACCAATTTTTACATGTCTTATTTGTATAATAGCTGCTTTTTCAGTGCTAAGTGAAGTCTCTTCACAGAAATATAGTGTTTGTTGTTCCAAGTAGAAATTTCTGTTTATTTGGAGCGACATACTGCTTGCATGTGTTTGTCTCACTAATGCCCAGGGGTTGGGGTGGAGTGGGACTTATTCTGTAAATCTGTTGTATCTTTGCTTTGGGTGCCAGGCAAGACAACACCAGTGGCACTGAAGTTTTGCACTAGTCAGTGAAGGCTACTGTTATATGCCTGGAACAGGGCAGGTATAAAACATTTGTCAGTGTAGGAGAAGGGCAGTTCCGTTTTAGAACTTGTGTTTAAGAATTGAAAACTCAGTGGACAACACAACTCATACACTCACCAACGTATTACCACAGTTTGGGGGGCAGTGAGTCCTAATTTAATTTGCTTTTGCCACATGCTTCCTCACTTCATCTGATCCATTTTTGAATACATATCCGAAAACTCAGTCATAGATATTGAGAACATTTCATTGAAAATACTCATAGTTAATGTTGAAAAAGACCTGTATATATTTGAAGACTGGTTGCTTTCTGTACCACCAAACAAAAAACTGAACTCAATAATAGTATAAGTATTTGGTATCTTCCAATTACAATTCATGTCTATTATTACATGTACATATGTAGAATGCCATAGTATTAATAAAAATATCAGCACTTGACTTGATACTCATTAATATGTGAAAATTGATATGTTTAAGTAGAAATGTACCAGTGAATGTGAATATCACTGAATTATTTGAAGACGAGTCACCACCTTGTCAAGTATTCAGTTTTTTGTCATGTTTACTTGATTCTTACCGGTTTACAAATGCACAACAAAATGATTAACTGTATTTTTATGTCCACATCAAATGTATAAGAGCATAAATTTGTATTTAGACTATTTTTTTCTGAAAAATACCAACCCTGTATTCCAGCCACACTTATTAAGAATCTTTTAGCTCAATAAATCTTGCCTCGAAGTAACTTGTACAGCACATCAAACTTGGCTTGTTTTTCTTGCCTTATTGTGTGTGACATTTATGCATTGTTCTGGATTCCCTTTTCCAGGTTCCAACGGTTCAGGATAATCCTGACAAATCTTTGGAAAAAGTCATGGAAACATATAGAAAATTGGGAAAAAAGTAGGGTGCTGTGAAATCCTGATGTCTGAGGAAAATGTCATGGAAATCAAGGGTTATTTTTGATGTGATTATGAAATAATGCTTAATTATCAAGCTGTCCTTTTTGGTTTATAGAAGTGGCCATGTATGGCAATCTTCCAACTGACCAAACAACACTTCTCTGAGAAATTTCATTAAAAGTCATGGAAATTTTCACATTCCACACAAGTCCTGAAAAAGCCATGGAAAGCCAGGGAACCCTGCAATTCTGGCAACTGTCAAGCTTACCATTGTGACAAGTTCAGTGTGATGTGGTTGCCAAGCCTGGATTAGCTCATTCATAGAAGCCTGTGGGTTAATTTAGTGCTTTCCTACAAATGCTCAGAGCATGAAACAAAGAAAATGTACATGGGTTGCTTCTGCTATTTTGTGGGAATTATTGCAATGCAAATACCCAAACTGTGCCAGGGCTTGTCTCTGGTTAATATAAAATCAAAGATATTTTTCATTGCTGGTTTTACGTGTTAAGTACCAATATATTAAGACTAAAAGTAGTCTCCAGAAGCTTACCTCCAAAGTGTTGTCCAGATCAAGATCAAGAACATGAGACAGATGGTAAGTTGAAACTTGGCATTGTCAGCATTCAAAAAAATGATTGCCAAAATCTGAAACTTTGCAAACAAAAACTCTGAAACCATTTGGTGTACTCTACAGTGCTATAACCTACCTCCATCGAAATTGCCAAAATGAAAAAAAGTTGACATTACTGTATCATTTGTCATTTCTTTCTCCTGGCTGTTCTTCATCTACATGTACATATTTGAATAGAATTGACCTTAAAGGTTCCATTGAATTATTTCTTTCATAAAAGTAACCATGGGAAGTTTGTAAAAGCACCCATTAGACAGTGCCAGCTTTCACTATCATTTGATGGAGGTGAAAGTACTGTATAGTTTCATCAAATAGTTGTTTACATGTACATGCAAATGCAGCCGCAAAGGAATAAGCAACTTTGCATCATGATTAATCCAGTGCCTCTTGATTGCATTCCAAACTTGTAAAGACAGTGTCATTTGCAATCTCCTTAATGTCATCCTTTGTTGTTTTTCACATCTGCACAGATTTGGCTTCTGGTGAAGAATCACCTATTGAAAACCAGGTCAAGGGTCAAAGGCCATGGTCAGGAACACCCATGAGGTATCGTAGGAAGATGTGTGGTAGTAGAGTATCCCTTGCCAGCAGACAGAGAAATGCTGTGTCCAAATCACACAGGTATTTGCAAAGAAGCAAAACTTCCCATCTGGCCAAGGCTGGAGGTATAAAGAAAAGGGGGCTTACGAAGGAACGGAGAAGGGGTTATATTTACAAGCAAAAGGAGTCCCAAGTAAGAAAACACAACTGCTGCACAATTGGTCGTGCTTTTGAGCCATCCCCTAGAATGGGTTTGCAGTTACAAATACAAGACAAACACGTGGTTCTCCGAACGTCAGAAAACTTGTCGCTAACTTGGACTCAGACTTGTGTGAAGGACCACACTGGATCTCCATCCGTTCTTCCTGAAATGACTGCCAATGTAAAGTGTTCAGGAGGGACACTGACTTCAGCAAGGAATGCAGAGAGTGCTATGATGCGTCACTTGCGAGGGACAGAGGCTGCATTATCTCCGAGTGATGGCCATTCAGGATCTTCTGACGTACAGATGCTGGATAACCTGCCGTCTCCCAATGGACAGCAGAAAGGTGACTGCTCTCTTTCTGGGGCAAAAAAAACACTCATCAGAGCCATCAGGAACAAAGTTACCCGAGATAGGAGAACGACCGAACTTGGCAGCCTGACACCTCATGCTGGATCCAGTGGCCAAGGAGTCATGTGTACAGCCTCAGTGTCTGAAATCTCTGACCAGAGAGGAGCATGTAGCCAAACCACCATTCCCCAAGGGAGACATCATCAGTCACCCGCAGAGGAATGTGTTAAGGTTGTTGGCTCGAGCGCTTGGAATGTTGGCAAGAATGCAGGTGCTGCCGCATCCTCCCTTGGAGAGAGGTCTGTGAGGAAACTCCCTCTGAAATCCAAAATGAGCACTCTCTGTCGCCCGAAGCGATTAAGCCACACTCCACGGAGATCTGCAGTGAGAAAGACTCCCTTGGCCTCCAGAGGTCACGTGAGATGTCCCAGCCTCCAATGGAATGTCTCACTGCCACCTGCTTCCACATCCACCTCTGGAATCTGCTTCAGTCAGCCGGTGATTTCCAACGTGGTCGGGGGGCAGAAAGCTGTTGAGATGACAAGGATGGAATTCGATGCCAACTCATCATGGCAGAATCAGAATAATGAAGAGAGTGTTCATCAGTTGGAAGAATACAATCATGCAGGTATGTGACTGGCAAAAGTTAGATACTCCCCCAGCTTACCCCAAAAGGGTGTGGCAAATGACCTCAACTTGTCAATTTACATGTAAGACTTCTCACATGCAAAGAAACCTTGATTGCAGTCAATGTCTTCTAGTTGAGAGCTGAGGTTAACAGCTACACTATTAGTTATAGTTATATACATGTAATAAAGTCACAGCATTTATAAGGACCATAGTATCTAACAGTATCTGTCAGGCAAAGGCACAGACACTCTGCCAAAACATGCCCTGGCTTGTTCCTGCTCGGCACAGATACAGCCTGATGCCATTTCATGCATGAACGGCTATTACAATAAACATTCTACCTTTGCAGTTACCCCTTTACTCCTGGGTGAATAGAGGCATATAAGGCCTCGCCTAAGGCTACAACATGTAACCACCTGCTACGATTTGAATCCTCATTCCTGTAATCAGAAACATGTACTAGTACAAACCTCAATGTCTAGGCCATGTCCCCGTGACAGATAAGGTACCGTAAATGCTGCCAAAAGGGAGAATTTATTTTCTGTCTCCAGTAACCCGAACAATGTCAAATCCAGCAAGACTGTACTCGATCTTAATTTTCAATTTCTGAATGAGGTGGAATTTTTGCTGGCAAGATTGTTTGAGAAATGCAGTGCACCACAATAACACCGTGGACATCCGTACCTGTTTGTCAACCTTTTAATTCAAGTCAGCACTTGTAAATGCAAGTCACAATATGTCAAGCACAGGCCTATCACTTGTGCGTTTTCACTGTCTAGTCTCAAGGTACGGTACAGTACAGTATTTGACTCAAATTGAGACAACTTGACCAAGGGAGTCTGTTCTCAGTTTTAAGGGTTTGCTGTCGCTGAATACCCATCCCTGTCTGCTTACGTTGACAGCTGATAGACAAGAGCAAGTGATCGCAAGCCCTTTGATGGGTCACTCCCACTCCCAGCAACTCTCAGCCGAGGGCCGGCCAGGCTGCAGCACCGAATGTCCAAAATCATACCCGACCAGGCCTAATTGCAGTCTGGTGCCCACCTCGCTCACCGTCGCCACTGCAGGCCCCTCTCCTGAGAACACGCCCGTGTCATCGGCAGGGCACCTGACAGTGGCTGAGCAAAACATGGACAGTGTTTTCTGGACTTGCATGTCCGAGGATGTGGACCCATCACAGAAGGCAGAAGACGCAAAACCCTCTGATGACAATGTACCAGTAGCCACAGATATGGCCCCAGTAACTGCTGAACACATGCCTTATGAAGGCGAGGTAAGCCATTTTGCTTTGGAATCGTACTCATAGAAGTACTACAAATCTCCATTAAAATTGTGACTGAATCCTACATGTACAACAGCAGTCTTAAGAAAAGGTACATTTTCACTAGTTTGTGTTCCCACAAGCATCTTTAAACAAAAAACCCACTCAGCTTCTCATTTTGATGATGTCTCATTTTGATCTTTGTGTACTAAGATAATACCGGTATGTGTGTGTAACAATGACATATTTCACAGATTTCTTTGTGGAGATTTGTTTGAAGGCCTGTATTAAATACAAATGTTGTTCTTGGAATCTGTGGCCCATATTTTAGGTTTCAGTTGTAAATCCCACATCTATGAAAAGTGGACCATCCAAAACCCCATTATGGTACAGTTACAACACAGTACAATTCTAAAGACAATGGACTTGCATTTTTGCCGGGTTGGGTTCAGATCTTGCACAAGCTGTTGAATCATATTGTTTTTTCAAACAAAAGGGAAAGTTGTATTTTGATTGTGTGTACGCGAGGCACTAGGATTTGTCATGTAAATATGCATGCATGCTGTTTCCAGGATAACTCAATAAGACCACTAGTTTAAACCGGGCCTGTTGCCAAGGGGGTGGGCAAGTGTACTAACCCCCCCCCGATATACTTTGTTCCTGTGATGTGGCCCACCTTAATGCCTGAAGCTGGTGACGGTGCTGGTTTAAACTCGCATCAGTCTCGTTTTTCTGTATACTGATTCTCTGTGCAGTTCGCTGATCAAAAAGTTCGTCTGGCCCACGGATACGATGTCTTCATTCGCCGCTCGGACCTGTGGGAGGCAGAGCGAGCCTCCAAGCAATCTTGGTCCATCTTGACCCGGCGCCTGCTGGACATCTACTTTGACCGCATGACCCTGGCCATGGGCCGGGCCAGCCACCGGGGAACCAACGAGGACCACAAGCCCCTGGACCAGAACGTGATCGGAGCAATAAGAGGTAACGGAGAAATCATACCAGTGGCTGTCTGCAACATTCATTCCTATGGGCACCAGTGGCCACTGGCTCCGCCATTTTCCATATACCCTTTACTGCCAGCGACAACAAGACTGAAGCAGCCTTTCAGTTGACTCGTAATTGCAATCACCATGCTTGGTATCCATGTACCGGTACCTTAATGCTAAAAGAGCTGGCTTACTTTGGATCATCTCACAGCCGGGGAGTAATCTGCCCTCCCCCCACTCGACCATCCCATGCCCATTTTTTAAAAAACTTGGCATGAATGTAAAAACACTCCTTATCAAATGTGTAGTTTAAATCAATTTCAGCAACAGTTTCTTGCTATAGTCATTTGAAGTTGAAGGCTATACACAGGCATGCCAGCCTGTGTGCATTGAGCACAGATTGGGAAAAGTACCGTACATGTAAACATTTTTTGACTGACTTGTCTTTGAAAGCTGGGTACTGCAGGGGAAAAGTATGAGTGATTTTCATAAAATTGGGGTCAAAATGACTGCATAGATTTGCTGAAAAATTCCCTAAAGGTTTGGCTTGTGGGAAAAAACTCAGTGGCAATAATCAGAAAAAAAAATTGAGGCCCTCCCCCAACTCTTATAGGGTCATAAGGACAGAATTTGTCAGTGCTCTATCTAGCCTAAGTTGAGGTGGCTGCTTGACCACACTCGTATTCAAATGAAAGCTGCATATCCCCTAGAGGCATTTAAACATGCATACACCACCTTTGTACATGTGTGGTGCATGTATTGTAGCAGTAGTTTCTAATTCTGGTCATTCTGGTTTCTAATACTACATTAGCAAAGTTGATAGATAAACAAGGGGCTAACGAAACACTAATCAGTGGGCAAGAACATAAAATTTTGCAGCTTTATAGAGGCTGCTCGTAATACAGTCGATCGGAAATAGAATTCCCTGTTGTTTCAGAGCAAAGAAGTGGATGATTTGGATTACGACACACTTGCATTTGTTCACCTTATTTCTCTTTTGCATGTACTGATGTCTTTATATCTACACCAAATGACCAATGAAACTACAGTGCCCAAGGTGCTACAGAGTACCAGTTGATCTTTATAAAGAGATAAATGTGAGAAGCCCCCTTCCAGTGTACTGCTCCTGCAGCCTTAGACGTGTCAAACAGTAACTTCGTTCTTGCTTTTCTCCTTACAGCCTACATCAAAGCCCGCTTCAACTTTGACAACCGGCGTAAGCTAATGCAAGTCATCGGCTTCTATTGCAGTTATTGCCGCAACAAATTGATGCATCAGCTTCAGTATAGCTAATGCGCGGGATGCTGCCTTGTGACAGACTTGTAAATAAAGGCACTGAAGCGTGACTTAACTGGGTGTCAACCCAGCCGTCCACCCGACCACGAGTCAGTCTTTTGAACAGCATCATATAGGGAACACCTTGTCGATTGTGGTCATGAATACTCACCGTGACCCCACACATACAGTAGCACAATGGTTAGCGGACTGCTGATGGACTCTGGGAAGAGGCAAGGAATATGTCCCTTTAGATAAAAGGAGGTTGGCAGGTTACAAAAGATGGGGCCCATCTCCACCTAAATTGTGACATTCTTCAAAGTTTTGCTGTTGTTGTACACTTTTCTTGGTGTGGTATAAGGACAATTCACCTCACCGTCTGAAGGCTGTGGCTAGTGTGTTTTTCCCACTGTGAAATTGGAATAAATCATAGATACTGTATTGTCGGCAATATTATTTACATGTACACAAATTGTAATCTTATGTGCAATCTTATTGTGCGCATTCCATCTGTCAGGAAAAGGAAAACTTGGCAAGTGCCCTTCTCAAGATAAGACCACACTCACCTTGTGACAGAGGATGGTGCTTTCACCTCTGAACCGGCGCGCCTCCAAGAATGAGGGAGAAGAAAGTGGAAAACCAAAGCAATGAAAGAGTGGACCATTTTGACACCAAAGTTGTCCAACATTCTCGCGGGAAGCATAGCCCCGGTGTATGTTATTGTACATGTATACATGTACATGTAGCTCCCAGTACATGTACTATGTGTTAGAGTAATGTTCATGAACGGCTCATGTATGACCAGAGGGTTGGGAGTATGAATCCAGAGTACCAGGGCCTTCTACCCACATACATGTTCATGTATCTTTTCATTTACAGATTTTTTTTTACTGTAGGCTTTGTTTTTCAACACAAAAGTGTCAAGAATCAGGAGAGAAATTGGATCTCTTGAGAGTGATACACCACATGGTCAAGAATGTTCACGTGCATCGGGCACGGAGTGTGCATGTTGGGTGTATGTACATGTTTATTTGTGTGGGCAAAGGGTGCATGGCACCACTGGCAAGCAGTTATCTCCATACTCTCTTGAGCTGTTGTATTGGCCAGCGATGTACAAAGTGGATTTCACTTTTAAGTTATACACGTATTTGTTATTTGCCATGGTAAACTTCTTCATGCTGTGAACCGACGAAACACACTTACAGTTTAATTTGACCTTTGACCAGAGCAAGGCCAACATGTAATCTGTTTCACTGGATATTCCAAAAGAAATGCACACCTTGCAAAGCATATGAGTAAGTTTGCACCAACAGGTTCATTTTTCAAATATTATTTTGACCGTCTCCCGCCCTGTGTTGTGAAGATCATGAATGTGGAGAAAATGTACGTGTATTTTCAACCTTTTTTCATTGTCTCAAGAAATGAAACTACATGTGCATGTATTTTACATGTAGTTGATCACATGTGTAGAGAATGTTGTAATCGATTTTGCTTATGGAGTTTACATGTATAATGATTGGCAGTGAAACTCACATGTATTTGTTGAATTGTGTGTGATTTTGAGAGTTCTAGAAAGTTGTTTTGACATACCAGCACATTGAAAATGAAGAAGGGAAAAGATCTGTTAGCAAAGACTAGTATGTGAGTACATGTATGTTACTTTGCACTTCTTCAAATTTCTTAGAAAGCTCTTGTATATTTAGAAACCATGCGTTGGACGTGCTTGAAGAATTGTGTGTTTTGCTAGTTGTTAATGGTGGAATTCCAGTCTCAAGTTTTGTTTCATGAGTTTATGGTACTTTGTTTTTAAAATGGTGCATGTACATACCAGTAAATGTATACAAACATTATTTATGTTATGATACAATTTGCTACAATACAATTTGTATGTTTTTGTAAAAAACCATATGCTTAAAGCTCTGCGATACAAATCACAAATTTTGATTTTCTCAGTCATATTTACTGCCTTAGAGCAACCTATGAGAAATATGCTCACCACTGTAAGATGTACCCAGATTCATTGGCATTCAAATAAACAAGTACTCCTTGAACATTTTACACCTTTTCTTCTTAATTTTGTTTAGTTTCAGCATGACACCTGGAATGTATGAAAAATAATATCCCACACTAATTATCCTTTCACTGTTCTTGTAGGTTGGCCAACTGTCTTACTGTGTATAAGACATGTTCATTAAAAGCGGTTTGACGGTTTCCATGTGCAAACAAACTTCTCTCTTGCTGAAAAAAGTGTTAGAAATATTGTTAGTTATTAGATTTAGCTTCCCATTAATAATTAAAGGATCAATACTTTAAGTCTTGACCTATGGAAACAAGGTTGCTGGGGTAGATTGTTTACCCACATCTTGGGATTTTCATTGGGGCTGCTGACTGACAGACGTGCATGGAACTATACATGAATGTAGTACTTGTGTGGACATGAGTTTGACAGTGTTACTTAACAGGCAGTGTAACTGTTATCACAATGAGGTTTGAAGCTGTATTGCCCTCCATGGATCTCAAAACATTTACATGAAATATGACATTACGTTTACTTTCATTAAAATGTTGCAACTTGTCTTCGTGTAATGGTAAACGTGGAAAGAATTTTTTCTCTGAGTTAAGAATATCACCCAAGTGACCATGCGGAATCATTAAAAACTCTTTAAGGAAAATGTTGGAACCTTTGTTGCATTTCTCTCATTTTATTTGACAGATGAGGATGAGGTTGAGAATGCTGAAGAGGAAGAGGACGGGCCTTCCTTGCAGGAGCTTGCCTTTGCTCCTTTAGAGGACGATGAAGACGACGATGATGAAGATGAATGGAAACCCAAGGAGGGTATGTTGGTGTTGTACCATTGCTAGAAATTAGGGCTACACTTGTACATACCTTAAATCCTAGGATTGTGTGCTTACCCTGTTGGCCCAGAATTTTTGTAATATTGCTGTAAGCCATCGCACAAATTGGGATGACATCCTATCCAAGTTTAATAGATATACATTTACCGGTATTCTCAAATAATGTTTCACGCCAAGGAAGCCAGAGGCAAACACAGGCCTGACGAGCCCTGTGGCTTAGAAGAGACTTGCCATTTTTGCGGAAAACAAAGCCGTGAAATTGGGCCAGGGTTAACTCCACACATTATTAAGGTTAAGAGATCAAGACAGTATTGTAACTTCTGAATTTGCAAGAGATGTACAGAGCAATATACTCCCCAGCAAACTGCAATGGTCTGAGGAATATTTATGAGCAACGGCATCAAGGCGAGTTCACACTTGGTGCAATATTGAACATAAATGAGAATTTTTGACATCAGATGAAATATTCGCTCTGTGAATTCGCAGAAGTTGAACACATTTCAACTCAAGCATATTTCACTGCAAACATTTAGTGGTATCAAATTTGTGTTTGATATATTTATCGTCCTCAGAACATGAACCAAAGAATAGACTTACCTCAAGTACATGAAGAGATGTGACGTGTGATCCTATCGATGTGACATAAGAACTCTTGCACACAACAAAGTGTCATGGACGTATGTTTCAAACTTCATCCATGATCTAAAGATATATATTAAAAAGGAAGCTAGCACATGAGATAGAAATGCTTCAAGATATGGAGTACATTGAAAAGTCTAAATTGTAAAAATCTTGGATCTAGCGGATGTCAGAAGTGAACTTTTCAAAAGCAATTGCAAAAAAATCCAAAATTAATTAACATCTCCCATCCCCGGCAAAAATCCATCCTTAGAAAGAGTTGTTCGTGGTACCCTCTGCTACATCTGACTCAAATCAACCAGCCGACACCGACAAGCTCAGTGGTTGAGTGGTTATTACATCTGCACTAGTAAGCAAAATGTCATGGGTTTGAGTCCCACCCGAGTATGCTGTGGTTTTTCCACAAGCCTTCGGCGGCAAACACTGAGTATACAGTGTTTCAATACACGTTGGGCAGGGCAAAAAAAATCCAAAATTAATTAATATCTCCCACCCCCCGATGTAAATCCATCCTTGGAAATAGTGCATTATTTGTCCTCAACAGGAAAAATGAAACGAAAGAAAAATCAAAAAAAGAAAACAGATTCCAAGCGTCAACACGTGGATGAGCCAGACCCTGAACCAAGGAAGGCCAAGCAGCTTGCTACATTGGGTACGTAGAGTGTGCATTGTATGTACATGTTGGCACTTACAGCATTCAGGTACAAGTTTCTGTCTGTTGAGTACAAATTCCTGGGCTTCATGTGCTTCCTGGTAGATGACCCCTTGTTGGAATAATAGTGGGGTGAAATTCTTTAGGGGTACAGGTGGCCAAGGGGTTAAGGTTTGTGACTCTCGACTAGAGGGTTGGAGGTTCAAATCTGGCTGTTGGCCATACTAATAAGTTGTGGCTGTGGGACAGGCCACTTCAACCCAACTTGTATCTCTCCATCTACGAGAGTTAATGGGTACAGGGATTAGCTGGGGAGCAATCCACGATGGACTGGCATCCCATCAGGGAGGGCAGGGGGAAATAGACATATACTCAGTTGTTGCATGCCAAGAAAACTGGAGATGGTTGATGTGCCAGGTGACTTGGAACAGATCTTGTTTGAAATTCTGACAAGTGTCCTGTGCATGAATTACTGTCCCATTATGGCCTTTGATTCTCTGGATAAGTCTTATCACTCTTGATCATTCGTTTTCATGATTTTTTCTTACGATTTTGCCCACCTGCTTTGTGTCCACTGACAAAATACCTACAATATAAATATTATGTGTTATCACACGAGTGTAAGTGGAAAACAGAATAATGTAGTGCATCTGTGTCCTGTGACGCACTTCATTATTCTGTGTTCCACGAGCGCTGGTGCGGTACCAAAGTTATCTCCAAGCAAACTTGACTTGCAGTAAAGATGTCGTAGGGGCCTATGTGCATCTATGCACCATCTTTGAATTTAAAGTAATGTTTGCAGTTGTGTGTTTTGCTTTTAGCGTAAAAATAGTGCAATGTGTTGAGTTAGAACAGCGCATTGCGCAGGATTTGATATGAACCATGCTGTACAGTTATAAATCACACTGTTTGGTGCATGGATCGACCAATTGAGCAGAATTGAAAATTCAAGTTTGCCTGAAGACAAGACTAATTGTTATTTCTATTGTTTACATTCAGAGATAAGCAAAAGTGGAGCAGATTCATTTTCTAGCGATGAGAGCAATGATGTAGACTACAGTCCCATGGATGCTGCCTTAGTGCATGGGGATCAAGACATTGAGAGTGATGACGAGGATGAGTTGTTGGAATGGGAAGAGGAGGAAGATAAGGATGGTGAAGATGAAGAGGACAGTGACAGCAGTGAGGATGAGAACAAGCTGTATGATGAGAGGGACAGCGATTACGATGGTGAGAGCGGTGACGATGACGATGACGATGTAGAGGTCATCAGTGATGAGGAGGAGAGAGAAGTGACATCACCATCTCTGCGCAGCAAGCAAGGTACAGCACACCTAGGCTATGTCCAAACTACTTGACTACAGCTGACAGTGACACATGGGCCTTTATATGGGAGACAGCTAGGACCTAAATTCCTTTCCTAAAGACAGGTATTAATTTGGCAGCAGCCTTGTAATGCTGGGCTTGCAGAACATGCATGTACAGGGACGGTGCCATTCACCAAACACATTAGAATTAGGATACCAGCTTGGTTTGGATTACGATTCTTTTAAATTCTGATGGAATAGGGTTAGAAGTACATGTAATTGGCACATTTTTGTGGGGGGTGGAATTATTATATTCAGGATTGCTTGTGAGTATCCTGCAATCATTATAGAGAAACAGAAAAATACCAAATCATGAATTGCATTTTAATAAGTTCTTTGATAATAAGAATTGAAGGCTGGTGTAAACATAATTTGACATATACTGCACAGATAACTTTCTAAAGAACAGCAGCACTTGCTGCTAGACTAAATCTGTAGTGTTTTTTCAAACTTATTTCATTCTGGGATTTAATGCAGAACACGCAGAGATTTCTTGTCACATGTGGGGAATGATTTCTAAGGGTCATCCTTGTGCCATATGAAGCAAGATGCGGGACGGGGAGCACCCCTCACCTTTTGTGTTGGTCATTGTTTGATTGGAATCTCAGGAATTCTTTACAGACATCTGGGGGGGATGTGTTAGGAAACAATACTCTAGAGTGTGTATAGGGATTGGACGTGTTGGGGGTACCCTTCCATCCATATCTTGCTGGGTATACCTTGTGCAGAGCATGACATAGCACAGGGTCCAAGGTCCCACTTCAATTATAGGAAGGCTATGGGTGCGAATGACTTCTCAGTGACTTGAAAAGTGGGGGGGGGGAGTAATGATTATATTGGTAACCCCCTAGGTCAAAAAGTGGGGGATTTATCCCTACATACCCCCGGGGTCTCCGCCCATGTAATGCAGCTTCATTAATGCCTCCTTCGCAACATCTGACTGGTACTGCTGATAGTTTGGTTAAAATGTTTAGGCACAGAATTTGAGTGTGATGCAGAAATTGGACCTTTGCCGTTTCTGGAAGCATGTTATGCCTGACTTTGAGTTTCTGTCACATTCAGATTCCAGGGACCAGCTCAAGAAAACGATGAGTGATAAACTGAAGAGCACCAGGATTTTACGTTCTACGGAGGCCCACTCACCCAAGGTCAGAGAATGTTGAGCATGGTTCGTGAAACTGTCACTGTTCTTCAGCTCAAACTTCCTCGGTGCAGTTTTATTTCATAAAATTCTCACAGTTGGCTCTGTTGTCCACTAACCTAATTTGCAGTGTGCGCTTCAGGGTGCTTCTGCTTGAGAAACAATTTCACTCATTTGCTTCTCAGGGATTTATACCCATAATCCCCTTGATTACCACGTGCAGATATCTTAATGTTCAACTACCATACTTGTTAGGGCCAGCTTGCTGCTTTGTATCCATTATAGCAGCAGTTGCTGAAAAAATTCCATCAAAAGTTTCACTACGCTGCCAGATTCAGGATGTTTAGAGGGGACACAAAATTTAGAAGTGAAATGCAAGCATGCAAGGCCAAGCCATTGGCTA